TACATATATATTTTATGGACAAATAGCGCCCCATATATATATATATATATATATGTATATCACTGCATATATATATGTATAACACCGCATATATATATATACATATACATATAACACTTCTACATACAGTTCACACGTAACAGCGCGCATACATGCGCACTCCACATGTAACGCTTCACAGGTATATACACTCCACATATAGGACAGCAAGTGCATATACACCCCGCATGAAACATCGATGTAGATGGTTGTGGTGGAACACACAGAGCATCAGATGCTGTGCATATCTCGCAGGTTGAATCTGTCTTTGCAGTGTAGAGCCACCATGAGCTTCCCTCTCACTCACTTTGCGTGTTGCAAGGAACTGTAGGTGCTGCTTCATTGCATTAAGAGAAATTCCTTACCCATCCACTCTTTCTAAGCGAGCATTCACGGCTGCTGCTGCTGCTTCTGTTGCTGCTGCTTCTACTGCTGCTGCTGCTGTCTGCTGGCGCGCCATTTCATTTGTACTGGCTCCGCCCTTAGGCCTTGCAATCTGCATGAGGTTGGCAGTGCCTCAAATCGGCGTTCGCCTTCAGTTATGAGAAGTTCTGACGGCAATGAGGAGGCCCCAGGCTCTCCTGCGGCTGGTGGCGAGCGCAGCAACTGTGCGTACACCGCAAAGTCTTTGAAGCTGGCAGAGAAGGCCGAAGACGCTTCTCCTGTTGCAGCAGCACAAATATTCCGCATCAATTCGGAGCAGGCGATTGAGGAGGTCAGTAACCCTATCTGCTCTGCTGCTGCTTCCTTCTCCCCTCCTCTTCAAGAGCAGCAGGAGACAGACAAGATCTACTGCGAGGGCCTCCATGCGCAATGTACCCAAATGTCGTTAACACCCCGACAGCCCTTCGAATCTGGGGGCCTCATGAATCCCTCTAGTCCACCCGGTCTCTCTGTACCGGCGGAGAGTAGCAGTGTACAGACACCAGCGACAACGATTGCATGCAATCAAGCAGCTACTTGCTCCGACGTAGTCGTAAGACATGACAGCAGTTCGCTGATGAGTCCCGTTGCTGCTGCTGCTTCTGCTGCTACTACTGCTGCTGAAGGTAGGCTGCAAACGGAGGTAAAGTCCCTCTGTCACGACGAGAGCCTGTCCCCTTGCAGCCTTCAGAGAAGTCCAGCAGCACAGCTGCCCAAAGAGCAGCAACAACAGCAGGTGCAGCAGCAGCAACAGCAGCAGCAGATGCAGATGCCGACACAGGCAGAGTTGGGGGGGGACAGCCTTTCAGCTTCCGGAGGCCTCCCCGCGGCGGTTACCGGAGGAGCGATCGCTGATGCAGAGGGAAGCAGCAGCAGCAGCAGCAGTCTTCAGTGGCTGACAGCGGCAGTTCAGGAGGAGCGAGGGACTCGCCAAGGGGAGCGGGGCTCTGAATTGGAGGAGGAGACAGACGAGACAGACACTAGCGGGCTGCTGTTAAGGGGCCCACAGGAGACGCAAACGAAGGAGAGAGTCAAGAGAGACTCTGACGAAAACAAAGTGAAGGCCGAGGAGCATATCAGAGACAGGCAACAGCGGCAGGGGGAGGCGAACGGACACGAGGCCCATGAGCCAACGTCCCCAGGAAGAATACGCCAGCACATGGAGGAGCTTGAAGCTGACGGAGAAGCATCAGCAGCAGATGCTGCAGAAGCAGATGCAGGAGCACAAGATGCTGCAATAGCAGATGCTGCTGCTGCTGCTGTTGGGGACGCGAAGGAAAGTGGCGGAGAGAGGGATGTGTTGGTTCTGCTTGAAGGGGAGAAACAGCAACAGGGAGTTGGGTCGCGGTGGACAATAGAGAGAGACTCAGGCGACAGCAGAGCGGCGAGGGTATTTAGAGAAGACGCAGAGACGGAAACGAGAGGGAAGAGCATTGAACAAGAGAGAAGAAGGGAGGTGGGGGCTTCATCAACTCTTTTAGATAGTGAAAGCATCTGGCACCGACGCACACAGCCGGAGAAGGAACAGGAGAACCCGTGGGAGGTGCCTTACGAAGTGTTTGTTCGGTGAGCGTACTTTTTGCTTGTCTCTTTTTTTTGAATTAATGCATTTTACGTTTGTCTTTCCACGGGGCTGTCGGTCCGCTTGCCGAGGCGCCTGTCTCTGGGGTTCGTGTTTGTTATGCAGTATAAAGACAAGCAGCTCTTCTTCCTCCTGAGCTGCATCAACTCACGTAGATCCTTCGTTCGTTATTCTTGTTTGCTGTTTTTCGTTGTCTGTTGTTGTGCGTTGTTTCTTGCTTGTTCTTTTTTATTGTTGTTTCTATGGTTGTTGTTGTTGGCTGGCTTGTTTGTTTGTTGTTTGTTGTTGCTGAGGTTAGGGTGCGTTGACAGGTGTTGAATGACCCCATTTCGTTTCATGTGTTCTCTGCAGCCGCCGAATGCTAGCAAAGAGGCACAGCGCAGCAGAAGAGGCTGTGCAGGCAACACAGCTAGCTTCAGTCTTGGAGCGTTACGAGCATAAAGGGGAGGCGAAGGCGAGTGCATGCACAGGAGGAGGTGATGAGTTTCCCCTTGAGGCATCCCACATAGGAGCGCTGCACGCGCAGCCTTCCGAAGATCAGCCGAGAAGGGGCCCCCCAGAGTGGAAGGCCCCTTCTGTCCTTCCATCTGGCTGTGACCTCGTGACATACGTTCAACTTCGTGATGGAGAGCAGCAGGAACACCATGCGCTGCACTGCAGAGATACCCGAACTCTGGAGAGGGGCCCCTTGAACTTCAGCGATGTGTTCGCCTTCATTCGATGGGTGCATGATGCGCAGGACGGGTCCCCCTGCTCCCTTCCTGCTGATGTGGCCAGCAGCAGCCGCAAGAAGTCTTCGCGGCAAGCGACCACAGAAACAAAGCAGACACAAGCACCACCTCCCCCGCAGAGACAACCAGTGTGCGCGTTTCCTCGGCCCGATGCTGAGGTAGATACTTTCTTTGACCCCAATGAACCACCCCAAGAAGGCCCCCTTGGAAACTTGCAGTTCACAGACACCACCCAAGACCCCTGGGCAGACACTGCAGCGGCTGCCGAACAACAGGGGCCTCCGACAGCTGCAGGCGTGCCAGCTGAAGAATACACAGGACCTGAGAAAGGGGGCCAGCGGGGAGGCGAGAAGGACGTTGATTCCCCTTTCAATAACTTAGCGGCTGAACATGCTTCGGCGCGGAAACAATAAACTGCATTAATAAGCTGAACGCGCTTACACATATCGTTGCATGCATCTAGTTGCAGCCGCTGCCTCTCCCGTCCTCGCAGTGCAACACGGCGGCGAAAGCAGCACGCATTCTCTTCGTGGTGGAAAGTAGCAGGAAGTCCGCACAGGCAAAGCAAATGGTGAAGAGGTCTAAATGGAGGCCACAAAAATCCTGTTTCTGCATCTGTGTGCTGAAATAGACAAGTAGGCAGCTTCCTAAAGTAGACAGGCGGGTGGGGGAGGCAGGCACGTAGAAGTGCCTGAATGAGTGCGTGCACGGCAAAGCCAATGCGCGTTTATTTCCGTATGTACACTTGGTTGGGCTTGCGTGCTGTTCTACGTGCGTAGATGTTCTCCTGCCGCATGCGTTACGTATGCTTGCGGAGGTATTATTAATGATGCATCGCATAACGCATGCATTGCAGTGCAATGAAGCCGATTGCTGAAGGCACAGAGAAAGAAGAGGCAAAGGCCTTCGCCAAAAGGAAAAGCTGATAAACGCCTATGTTTCGTGATAGGCTACGAAAAGATTGGCATAGACAAACGACACATTGTCTTTTTTTACTAGACAATATACCTGATAATACCGCCTACCAGCGCACGTAAAGTTTTTTAGTTTTCTTTTGCTTACCCGTCCTTGCACCAAGAGGCATGCGAATAAGCAAGCATACTTTTCTTGCATTTTTCCTGGGAAGGTGTTCATCTTTTTCAACTCACTTCGGCTGATGCACTACGGTGTTCAGACAAAACTCGCCTTCGCTACAAGGATGTCGATGCATGCCGCAGTAAGCTAATATGTATGATCATCCAGATCAAATGAAACGCAAGTAAACAGGAGCAACACAGAAGGGAGCAGATTGGATAGAATACTCATGAGGGTGTAGGCATGCAGTACTGCGGCGATAAGTGGACCTGAACGCGAGGGTAGAAGAAGCCGTCGAGGCTTCTCATGCTAATTTATTTTTCCTTTATTTCATTCCTCCTTCGTATGCAGTTTTTTTGCGCTTCTTCTGTAGTTTGGATTGAGAAAAGAGGACCGATGAAGGGGGAAGGGGATAGACAGCGTGAAGCCTGCGCTCTAATGGGTTGCTTCAGCAGCCCATTTGAGCGGGCCATGCTAGATTGAACATGAATAAAGAGCGACATAAGGTCTGCATTGATGGGGACAAGGCCAGCAGTAACACAGCATCCCTCAAGGGCAAAGAGAAAGCTGGAAGTGGGCCATATGTACAAAGGCTGTAAGCAGCAAAACTAGAGGCGGCGAAAAGCAAACTCGCGTCTGCCGCGCCTAGCCAGCGGAGAGGGAGCGGAGCAGAGGCTTCTGAGGCATCCTTCGAGTGATTGCGCGTTCGCATTCTAAGTGGTAGGTTCTCTTTCCTACATTCTGCTTGTAGCAACGCTTTCATTGTGGTTGCACTGTTCAGCTGATACAAAGGAAGCGCTTCCGATTGCATTAAAGCAGGCAAACGGTACAAAGCCTCGAGATTGAGCTACATTTGAGTAGCTAGGCTAATATGAGAAACCACCAGCCCTCACAAGTTTCGTTCTCACATACTAGCTTCAGCGAAGGCAATGAGACAACGGGCATTACCCTTACTTGCAACACCTGTACACACAATACGAAATTAAGACGTAATCCCGCTGAAATGCCCTTCGTCCGTGAGGTGATGGACGATTAACCATGCACAATTAAGGGGGAAAGGAGCACCAAAACGGTTTTATGTAGTGGAGGAGCAGTTGCTCTCTTTTGGCTTGCGCTGGTTTTACATCAGGTGCTGGGCTTTCCGGCCGACCACCCGCCTGTGACATGCGGAGAGAAGGCACTACTCTCACCGTCGTGAAAATGCACTTATTTCCACTCAACTGTCTTAATATTGGTCGAATATTAGCTATAGAGGTGGCAGAAGAAATCCGAAAATCGGTCGTTTCTGTGTCGGCCGCTGTGCTAATGCATCACACTACAGGCCCAAGTCCTGGGACCCAAGTGCTCGGCGGGTCCGATATTGCTCAAATTTCCTGTTTTTATTTAATGCAATTGCTTTAATGTTTCTTTTATCTCCTGGGTGTTTGCAGATCAGTCCCGTAATTTGCAGCTTTCTGCCCGGTTCGGTCATTTGCCGTCGCCGTCGGCGGCTGGTCCACACAGTCGTGCGACCACCCCCCAACCACTGGCTCTTTCTTTGCGCTCATTTCAGTTTCCAGAGTAGTATAAAAACATACTTTTAAGGCAACCTGCGTATGCGTATAGACGAGGAAGTAGCTTCTCTCAGGTTTCATGCTGCCTGTCTGCTTTCTTCCAGCCCGGCCCATGGTCCGCACGGGGTCTCGTCTTCGCCGAGCTCCCGCCACGGGTTAGCGCTTCATGGGGGCCATCTGTCGTCTTAAATTCCTCTACAACATGAAGCAAATGCTTTTTACATTAACCTGCGCTTTCGTGGGCATCATCGCCGCCAGCGGCCTACCCCAGCGACCAGCAGCTGAGGTCTCATATGCTGTCTCACGCGGCGCTAAGATAACTGTGTTCCCATCTGTCAGAAAAACACTTCAGGGGGTCAGAGGCCTTCATGCTATTCGACCCCATGATCCTGGAGTGAAGTGGAGCCTGTCGAGCTCTTTTTCTCTCGGCTCTCTAGCCAAACGGAGTAGGTACTTGCCATCGAGAGATCATGAGGACCCAAAAGGAATGCCCCATGATCGTCACCTTCTTCACCTTCATAGGGGAGACTTGGGACCTGCGTTCATCGAGCCAGAGCAAGATGTGCAAGGCGCACTCGAAGAGCCGTCGGCGCCTCCCAGCAATCTCCCAGCCGAAGAGGTAGAGGCCAGAGAAACTAAAGAGCCAAACGCAACGGATAGCGACGGTACTGCACCTTCTTCGCCTTCACCTCATGATTTTGAGTGGGATCTCTCGGTTCCACCGCAATCGAAAACTGCATTTAAATCTTTTGCGCTCGAGCTTCAGGAGAAGCTGGCGCTCCACGGAGAAAGGAGAGCGTACAGAAGACCGAGAGGATGTGCTGCTTTCCTGGGCCTAACTGAAGCGGTTAGTGGCAAAATGTGCAGCAAAGTCCTTGTCCGTGTGGTTCAGCAGCCATCTGCAGGGGCCGCTTTCTTCTCCTCTGTCATGGCACGTCTCGGTGCTGCATTCAGACGGCTCAAAGGGGCGGGCAAATTAATCATGGCGAAAATGCGTAAGCTGTTTGGAGCCACAGGAAAGAAGGGGCCAGAAAGCAAGGCAGTTCAGTGGATCAAGAATATGGCTAGCAAGGCGTGGGTGCGGATGCAGGCTCTTTTAAAGAGTATTTTGAGGACTGTAATTCGTTTTTTGCCGCTGATGTTATTTCTCGTAAATATAACATTTCTCTCGATTTCGGTCTTGTCGTTTGCTGCTGCGCCGAATCCCCTGACTTTGATAGCTATGATCTCTACGGCATTCAACCTTCTTTCGTTTATATTCAACACCGCGATGCGCATGCACATGAGGCAAGCCATTCAAAAGTCCCTTGAGGAAGGCTCAGAAGTGCGAGACATGGAGCTCTTTGGCCTTAAGTGGGGGGAACTCAGTGCAGAAGAAGCATTGGGAGGAGAGGACCTGAAGAATGATGCGCTCGAGGAGGAGTTGCGAGCATCGCGGAAAAGCAGGAGAGCAAAATCAACGAAGCAGGAGAAACAGCAGTCACCTGGGACCTTTTCCGAAACAATATTGGACACGACAACCGATGAAGAAGAGACACAACCGCCGGCGCAAGCCACAAAGCCTTTTGAAGAGGGCGGAGGGGAAGAAACAGAAGCACTTGCGGAAGAAGAAACTGCAGAGAAAAACCCATTTGTCCTCTCAGAGGAGAACTTTAGTATGGCCTCAGAGGCAGCGCCAACGGGCGTTACAGCAGAGACAATGGAGGAAGTCAAGCGCATCATGTTATCCCGTATTGCGCAAGACAGAGCAAAACTGAGTTTCCTAAGGGCCAAAGAGAAATTAAAGGAGGCAAGAGCAGAGAAGGCCAAACGCACTAGGAGAGCGTGGAATGTTGCAAAGACTAGCGTCCGTCTTATTGCAGAATCTCTCAACTATGGACTCAACAAAGTCCTCGCAAGATTCGGAGCAGCCTGGCACTGGGCAGTGGTGAGACTAAAATTGAAATTTTGCCTTTCTACATTCTCATTTATGTATATATGTTTACCACCTTTTTCATCATCACTATGGTATCTGCTAAGAAAGCTTAAGAAGGGAGCCTGGTCTCTTTGCTCACGAATGTTTACAATTGTGTGCAATAATGCTTTGTTTTGTTTCCAGGAGGTTGGACTGAAGAAGCTAATTCGTCGCTTCCGGATGTTAAAGCTCTTTGGTGTGATAGCTGCCTGGTTTGAGCGAGTTGCGACGTTTATAAGATGGTTTGCAGGCGAGGGAAAGTTTTATATTTCAGTATTTGACACGTTCAGGGGCTCCGCCTCATTTATAGTGCAGAACGCGGAAAAGATTTCGGCGCTTGTTAAAGGCACCATTCAATTTTCTTTCTCGACTTTGGACGCAACACTTTTCTGCGCAATGCTCCTCAACGCCATCACAAAACCTGTTTACGGGCTCTATTTCGCTTACCAAGGTTTGCTGGAGGACAAAACGAGGACAGAGGCAATGCAGGAATTTCGACTTAACCGGAAAGCCCTCACGAACTTTCTCTTGGGCAGTGCCGCAATGGAATCTCAAGTGGGGTAAGCAACCACATTTTTGTGAATTCGTTGTATTTGCTCACTGCGAAGCAACATATGAAGCACCTACGGAGTATACGCATGCATGCTTGTATGTATCATTCGCATTATATATGTAGGAGTGCAGTGCGCTTACAAGAGATGCACTCTGTGCAATATTGAAATGGTGAGCAAGACACCGTGTGTTCTGCTTCAGACATGCAGCAGCGTTTGAGGTGCCTGGGCCCGAACTGCAAGAAATTATGTTCGTACGTCCGAACGAAATTCAAAACAGTACCCTTTTCTTTGGGCAAAAGCACGAAAACCCTCTACTCTGCAGAAGTGTTTCTTGCAAACTCAGTTTTTCTTGTAGAGGGAAGGGAAGAGAACGCGAGCAAGCGTTTTTTTATTTTCTCTTCCTTCTTTTGTTACCTTTGCCGCAGTTAATGGCGTACCTCGAGCAGTACAGGGCACAAAAAGTGGGAAATCTGCAGCTGGCAGGCGTCAACCCCCTGCAGGCCTACAGTATCTACGAACGCATTGGCCGTTTAGATTTCTTGCTGGGAAAAATGAACCCCTTAGAACGAGCGAAGTTTGAGAACGTTTTCTCTGCTCTTAAGGAGTGGGATGCTGAAGCAGCAGCAACAGCAGCGCGCGATTCCCTGCTCAATCATGTGCAGCACTGCGTGTTACTAGGTTAGTTTCCTTTCTAGCTTGTTGATTCCGCAGCATTGGAAATCTCCTACACAATAAAGAGCAACGGCTGCTCAGAGAAAGCAGTGGTTATTATAGCTTGTAGCATGGCATGGCATTTGAATGCAAATAAACAATGCACTCCTGGAGCTGTTGTGATCCTTATTTTTTCAGCTTCCCATAGGGAACTTCGCAGGCGAATCTTTTCGAGTACTGTGAAGTTTTGCGTTAAGGCGGAAGTAACAAAGAAGAGGGCGAAGCTGATTAGCCGCTCATTTGCAGACAAAATTACGCACACCCTCACACACTCCTGTTAGTGCAAATCAATATAAGTGACGATAAAAATAAAAGGCCAATTGACCAATGAACGACACGTCATTCCACAGTGTCACCCCGAAACCCACTCATGCTGTTCCTTGCTCTGGTTAATGTGCTTTTTATAAGCGCTTTCATGAACGAAACGGAATAGTGCTCATTGCATTGCTTGCAGCGTTTGCATGCTGATGATGCGTAATGGATAATTTGTTCTGCTTTTCTTCTCCTTATTCTTCGCCTCAGCTATGCTTGTCTCCAACCCGGGCCGCCTCCAGTATGAAATACGCCAGGCGCTCTTAGGCAACAACTTCTCTTTCTTGCCTCGGGACGCCGTTGGGAAGCTGGCGGCGATTGTGTATGACATTGTAGTTGACATTCTTGGAAAGGAAGTGGCACGTAAGAGATCAAAATATACTGCACACGCACGCCCTCCCGTGCACGCACTCATTGTTGTTGGCATGCTGTATACGCGAAGACATGAATACATCACAAACATGTGCTGAGCATACAAACACAGCCAAATAGGCGTCCTAACGCACGTCTGTATGTAGAGTGGCAGACTTACATGCGTACAGCGATGCGTGCTCCCACACACAAACATACTTCGCTGCAAGAGCGTGCATCAATGCAAACACGAGCACATATCCTCTTCCGATTGGTCGAATTTCTCTTTGGCGTCCACATGCGGCATTTTTCATTTCAAGTCCAATGTTTACTTATTGAGAAGATGCAGCATGCTGTGTTTTTCTTGCTTTTTATGTATGCAGTGGAGGTTCCCGCTGGAGGGGGAAGCGTCGTGGACCCCTCGGCGCTGCACATAAACCTGCTACCTTTTAGCTCTTCTTTGAGTCTGTATCATTTGTACGAGTCTCTGCAACGGCTGTTCACAGTCTCCATGACTCCTGCGGAGCAGCGCTTCGCCGCTATGAGCGCCCCGCTGGGACAAATCGTTACACAAGACAACTGCGGGCCTATCCGCCCAGGCATTGCGCTTATGCCTGACAACGATGTTGCTGTTGTGCAATTCGGTGGAGGCCAGTGCGGCAAAGTCGCAGCGGCCAGCTTTCTTAAGGCACAGGCAGACCCCAACGTTCGCCGGTTCATCCGAGAAGAAATTTTCGAAGTTTCAGCAGAACAATGCGCCCCCTATGCAACGGACGGTGCGTTTCGTGGTGCAGGCCGTCCACTGAGTGATTTCGCTTTTAGCAACCACAAATGCGAGACATGCTGCTGATATTTGCATTCGGAGGTGGGGTTAGTGAGGTTTTCGCTGCAGCAGGAGTGCATGAGAGGCTCTGGTCAGTTGATGCTTCATTGGGTGTTGTTGCACGCGAATGCCATCGCTTGGCTCTTTTGATTGTGCATTTTTCGTTATTTTTCATCCTTTTCCTTGTAGTCTGCGGGTTTTGTAGCGGGGTGCGTATGCAAGCCAATGCGTCGTACGCTTTGTGCTCTCTATTTTAGCGTATGAAGCAATGGACATCGCTGTGGAGCAGATCCTGGCGTCTGGAGTTCCCGAAGATCAAATAGGAGTTGCAATACAGCACGCAGTAGATGAATTAGGAGACAAATATTACATCGTCGTTGATGCAGCAAGGATGCTGGCATCCGCTGGGAGATCCATTGAGATGAAGTCCTTCAAAGCACTACGATTGCTACAAGCTGTCGTTATGTCAATCGGTTAGCACTGAAAGTAGATAGAATATCGTTTATTCCAGCTGTCAGCTATTTTGTTATCAGCTGCCATAAAGGTGTTGTGGTTGGTGCGTGGTTGCCTCACAAAACAGTTTAGAGGAGGAGGGGGGAAACTAATTCTCTCCGTGTATTAGTGATTGAATTCTTTTTCTCGTCTGCTCTTCTGTTCCGCTTTGCACAGAACAACAGTCTATTTTCAAGTCCATGATGGAGACTATTATTAGAAAGCATTTTGGGTTGTCTACCGGCTTCAACTCGCGCGTCCCTTCGATATTGCAACAAACGAGCTTGGAGGTCGAAGAGACGAGAGCATGTGCGGCAATCTCAAAACGCTACAGTGTCAACAAACATAAATGTGTCTACATATATGTATATGCATATGCACATACAGATACAAATATATCGATATACATATACATGCATGAATGTTTAAGAGAACGAACAGTCAGTTGGCCAAACCCACACACCCAAATACATTAATTTAATTACGCCTCACCTCTTGTTCTGTTTACAACCAAGTTGAATTCCATCTTCTGTCGGGTTCTGCTGTTTTTTCGCGCAGTTTGCAAACGATGCGCTGTGCGGTACTTAGCGGAGTTGATTCGAAAAACCCTCTTGGAGTCATTTGAAAAGGAAGAAGAAAAGTTTATAGTAAAACTCTTTGCACGCATCTACGCGACTGCAATTATGGACCACATTGAGGAAAACGTTTCAGGTAATTAATGCAATGAAAGGGGAATATGGGGTGTACGAAGGATTAAAAACTGCCGAGTTTCGCACTGAGAGTAATACTAATGCAACAATAGCAACAATGCTACTGAAAAAATTAATTAAACTATTTAATAGAGCTTGTGCATCAGAATTCTTCTTCGTCGCTGTTTCCATTCGCGAACAAATAGTATATAGTGGCCCCGGCGGGCTACCTCACCGCCCATTTACCTATGCAGTTTCACTACATAGATAAGTACGTGCGCTTTCTATTTTCATTGTATTTATTGCACTCCATTGATATTTTGCTGCGTTTTTTATTTGTTGCGTTCAGTTAACCCCGAGACAGGCGAGGCTTCAGAATACTCTGATGATCTCAGCATATTCCCTGAAGGTGAATAATTAAAAAGAAACAATAAATACAACAGCATGAAACGAAATAACAAGTACACAATATTTAACAAAACGAGAAACAACAAATCATCAGTAAATAGAAAAACAGTAAACGAAACAAGGATAAATAGAACGAGGGGGGGAAATGATGTTTTTTTGGTGAAATTTGAATTGTTAACTTTAACCTCTTTGCAAATGAGTTCAGCTGCTTTAAGCCTTAAATTGCATTTAGTTACCTCCACGCATCTGCATACATAGATATACTTGTCAATATATATATATATGTCTATATATATATATATGTATATCAAACACACGCATATAAGCACGTTGTAAGGTGCACAATCTGTTTATTGGGTTTTTCAGCCATTTCGAACATCGACCCCTTGGCTGCAGCCCTTGGTGAGCGCTTTTCTGTTGAGAAACCCCCACGAGAAAAGCAGTTTTGCAGAAAGATGCCTCCTTGAAAAAATCCATTCAGAGAGACGAAAGGAACACTATACCCTTCTCATCGTGCCTGTATGGCGTGTGTTGCTTAACCTGCGCAGTGAAATTCTTTTATTACTCTGAAAGAGAAGAAGAAGAAGCAAGATTGGCTTCCCTCTTTGAGCGGTCATTAGCAGAGATAGTGCAGGGCTTGGAGGACTCTAAACTCGAGTCTCGAAGCAGAACAAGCGTTGTTCTTCGCCTAAGACAATTCGTTAGCAAGAGAAGCTCCTTTGCTGCTGAAATTGCAGCAGCGAGAAAAAAAACAGAAAGTCCGCAACATTATGGACCTGAGGCGTTTACCTTGCTCCAGGAGACATTCGAACATATGCTTACTGAATTCCATGACCTCAAAGCGCGCGTCATAGCAGCCCTGAACAGCGGGCAGATGTACCCAAGTAAGGAATGCAATGGATACGATGCACTAAACACGAAACAGAGTATAAATTTCCCAAGTGTTTTTACATGCGTTTGTACATAAACATGCATATATTTGACATTGTACAGGAACAATCGCTGTGCACGTGTTTCTGTCCGCGCACGCTGTGTTCATGCATTCAATTAACATTCCTTCATTCTTCATCTGCTCACCACAACACACACGCACACACACACACACACACGCACACACACACACACACACACACAAACATATCAATACGCAACAGACAATTCTGTTTGGTATATCCCTCTAAAGCGACGCATTAGCCCCCTATTCGGTGATCTTATTATTAGTGGTAGTGCGAATTGTAGTAATCGTATAGTGCTTTTGTTTTGCGTTGCTGTTTGCTGCTTTTAGGGACCTTCATGTGCACTGACACGTCATCATCTGCTATGTGGCAATTCACAACTGGAGTCTCAGCGCGACTAACAGAAGCCATCGAAACCGCAGAGTGAGTGAAGAACACAAAAGAGTAGAAAATGAGTTGAATTAACACAAAAACAGCGAAAATGAATTGAAGTTCGAATGTTCAGCTTATCGCATGGCTTACACTAAACACTAGGGTTGAGGGTGTAGAGTTTGGGGTTTAGGCTTTACGGTTTAAGGTTATTTCTACTTCTTTACTGAGCCACTCAACGTACTTGCACTGTATATCAAGCATTGAATGAGAATGAGAAGTAGTAATGGCGATATGCTAGGGTGGGCCGCGGGGGTTGTAAAGAATGCGCAGCAAGATAGAATGATGAAGTAGATGATGTGGAAATAAGACAAACTTGCAACAAAAAAGATGAATATAAGAGGCTGCATCGGAACAGTCCTTCAGTTTGGCTGCTCTCTTGAGTTTGCTTGTAGAACAAGGAAAGCATGACGTTCCTCCTGATATTCACTTCGCTTCGTGTGTGTATATTTGTTCATTTATTTATTTGTTGTTGTGCAGGCGTAAGAAGCGTGCCAAAGTATTTAAGAAGAGAGGCAGGAAGGCTTCAGTGCCGCTTTTTTTGTTGGATTTAATTGACTCAGTTGAACATATCAACAGACACGGAATAAATGGAACCCACTTCGTACTTGATATGAGATACGTATTCAAACAAAGAAGAAAAAGTAAGAATGCGTAGTAGATTCATGCATAAATATACATATATTTAGAATAAAATGTGCATGTATGGGCGAATATATATATATATATATATATATATATATATATATATATTATATGCATGTAAATGTGTACGCAGTTACATGCATTAACAAGCACAACTATATGTATGTATATATATATATATATGTATATATAAATATACAGTTGCTCATAAGTATGCATACATTCATT